AGAAGTTGTTGACGGCGTGGAGGAGAGTGTTGCCGGCGACCTTGGGGCCACGGCCGGAAATGCGGTAGACGTAGTTGTTCTTGAAGGTGACGAGATCGTTGGAGCCAGCAAAGTAGAGACCCCAGTAGTGGTAGTTGTTGCAGCTAGCAGACCAGCTGGTGGTACCGTCGATCTTGCTGTTGGAGATGGTGACACGGTTGCAGGCGTTGTTTCCGAGGACAATGTGCTGACGACCGATGAGAGAAGTGGTAACATGGTCAATCCAGACGTTGTCAGTGTTGTCGAGGGTAATGGCATCACCACCCCAGACGTATTGAGGGTTGAGCTCAGTGATGTGAACGTTCTGGATGATGACGTTCTTGGAACCAACGATTCGGAGACCCTTGCCACGGATGACACCCTTGGAGCCAACGCCGATCAGGGACTTGTTGGAGCCAACCTTGATACCCAGAATACCGGCCTTGTCATACTTGACGTTGACCTTGGGGGCGTTGGGCTGGTAGTTGCCGCACCAGTTGTTCTGGTTGATGGCAGTCTGGCACTTGGATCCAGTTCCCCAGGGGGCACAACCAGTCTCGCTGGCGGTACCCTCAGTGCCAATGAAGTTGATGGTGCGGTCGAGGTAGATGACTCGGGCGGAGGAGTCACCGAGGTACGAGACGAGCTCAGCGGCGGTCTTGGGGTAGACGGCTCCAGCGCTGCCTCCTCCTGTGGTGGAGGAAGCGAAGCCCTCGGCGCGGGTGGGAAGAGCGCCGAGGACGGAGGGGATAACGGCGGCGACCGCGAAGAGGGTCTTGAAGAGAGAAGGCATGATGGTTGATACAGGGAGTGACAGTGGCAGTATGTATGTGTGTAAGTGAAGAAACCAGAGACCCAGCTACTGGTTGGATGAGAAAGAATGAAGGAGAGAATGCCGAGAAGCAAGTCAGAGAGAGAGAGTGAGATATCGTGAAGTTCATATACTAACTATCTCAGGCCATCGTGTAAGCCAAGCTAGGCTGCTCCTCCACCCTATGGAGTGAGCATCATGCTAGCATCGGAAAAGCCCCCTTGGCAGACGGGAATTCGGCGAAGTTGACGATTGATTACAGCCTTATTTCGGGGTGTAATGCTTCATCGAGCCACGGACCCTCCCGGCCCATGTTGCCCTATTCGGAAGCGGTCCGGGATGTGATTCGTGGGAATTCCGTTGATGTTTCGGCGCGGTGGGTTATCTGTAGAGCCCACACGCCCCCCTATCCAATGTTAATATCTCCTTCCAGTGTCAGGACCTTTTATTTAGATTGTATATTTTAATCCTTAAAGATAAATGGATCATGGATATAAGCAAAGATGGGATGGTTCTGATCCCGCGTATTCGAGTGGAGCGCTTCGGTAGATGAGCGAGCTCCGGATCCGACGCCGTGGTTCGGACGGCTAAAGGAGAGCCCAAGATGGAAGGTCCTTCATTTATCACTTTTGCCAAGGGTTCTAATATGATGGATTGATTAGGTAGTAGCTGCAACGTTAACTCCATGCATATCCGTAAGGTCACTATCCGGAAGTATTCTAGAACCTTAGATTTAGCCTCTTTGTGACAGGCACTCTAAACAAATAGTCTAGTGTTACGCTGCTAATCTGTCGATAGCTTGATTTTAGGTGTTTAACCATTCCCCTTTCTTCAGGCCTCCGATTCACTAGCTGCTGATAAACAAAAACAAGTAAAGTCCTGTGTTTTCAGCTCGGGCTTCTTCTGGCGAGGTTTTGTTTGACAATCAGGTGATAGAGGGAGGGGCGCTAGGGGAGGAAAGAAAACTCAGGACCTTGACCCTAAGTGACAAAAAGACTTAGGTATGTTAGCATAAATTGAGCCTAAACTTAGGATCCCTTTTGCTAAGTTTATTTTGACACCTTACGTTAAGGTCCAGTGTTTTCTTGCTCCTTGAGGGGGCGGCACTAGGCCCATGTGGTGATGGGGCTGTTCAAGCGTGGTTTGTAGCTTCGTTCTTAGCTCTGTTGGTTCCTTGACTCGCGAGTGTGTTTCATGTTGATGATTTTTCTTTATCTAAGCTTTGGTGTTTTAGCCATTTGACTGAACATAAACTTGTCTTTGGCTAAATTGCCCTGTTTGAGTACCCTTTTGGTATGTAAATGTCTGGTGTATACTCTGTGAACAGCCTCACCGTAGAATGGACTGAGAGCCAGAGAGGTGTTCATCGACTCTCGGGTAGATTTTGCTTAAATAATAGAACAGGCTTTTTGCCATGGTAGATGAAAGCCTCTGTAAGTTATCTCGAACATGAGTCTCACAAGTATGTAGTCCAAGATATAGGTATATATTGCATCTCTCTGAACCTGAAGCGATGGTATTTATTTACACATCACCACAGTAGCAAGCACTACACTCCGTACATCCTGTGTTCTTCGACATTCAACTCTATCAGCATGTCATCCTCATCTAACAATACGAATAGCGAACTGCAGGGTGCTCTGACCGATCTTCCAACTGAGCTTCTACTTGAGATTCTCCACAAGGATAATTTGGAATGGGAGGACTACTACAACCTCTGCCGTACATCATCTCGGCTATCCCGGGTTGCTCACAAGCCCATGTACCAGGGAGGAGACTATTGCGTCTTTCGAATGGCTTGCTTTCGTGGTGATCTCGATACGCTAGCTATTTGTGCTCAGTATGGCGCCGTGCCGACCCAGTGCAGCCAGAAGGCCCTGTCCGATGGTCCTTTGGGTCTTATTGAGCCGGGAAATGGCGTGTACCGTAGAGATGTGGAAGACAACTACCAGGAGTGTTGGCATTGGAATGTCTGGGGCGACGGATCTCACGGGCCCGGTGACATTGTTATTCTAGGATTCTACGAAGGCAACTTTTCTGCAGAGAGATTCATAAAAGTTTGGCAATGGCTGTCGGACCGGGGGTGTGAGCTCTTCACTTTTATGAAACTACGCTCTCTGGTCCGCATCCCCTTCCCTTGCTTCTCGCATGCTCTCCTATCCATGCTTCCAACGGCTACCGACAAAGTACATCACCAAGGGATCTGCAATGTCATCCAATTCCTTTACAGAGAGGGCTTGAGAATCCCGCATCCGGACAGGAGACTTTGGAGGAGAGGAATGTGGCCAGCTTACTACCCTTTAGCCAGGGAAAATCGCCCAACCATGCTGCAGGCTATGCTGCAGACCAATTGCCCACCGTCCATTCTTGAGCTCTACTTGAGACAGGTCAACGACGAGGGCCTCGTTTTCGATTATACTAGCACATGGCATTCATCCTTCGACGGACTGGGAAGCGTCTCGCAATTTCTCTCTATCTTGTTCGATGACATGCTCGCTCCCTGGATCTACAAGGGTGACAGCACCCGTAGTATGAGCGATGATCTCCAAGCAAAGATCTGCTTACTAACTCAACATCAGGGAGCCAATGCTTTTGAGCTATACGTGCTTCGGGACATTGTTACTGCATTGCGAAAGATTGATGCCAGAAAGGTAAGCCAGGGTAATCTTGACTTTGAGCGTGATGGCTTATGGTGCTGGTATGAGCTATGCACAGCACTTGCTTATATCTCTGATGAGGACGTTCAAAAGCAAACCGTGGATCTTCATTTCACCGACCCAGGAGACTGGGAGATGATTAACCCATACTTCAGTAGAGGGTGGCTCCCCCACAAAGAACTGGCGTATGCGAGGAGGAAGATTCTCGAGAAGCGAGCTCGTGAGTCTGGGCAAGATCCCAAGGACGTTGAGTCACAAGGAGAGGAGCCAGCCGGACGTAAGTGGGCTCAAATGCCCCTGGATGCTTGGGATTACATCCCCAGCCACTCTAGAATGATAAATTGAAAAGTGGCAGATCGTAGAGTAAACCGGCTGGAGTATTCTCCCCTGGAAGCAGTAGCCAGCAGTCCTAGATGTAAGATTCTGTAGTAGTATAGATTGAAAATAGAAAAACGGTTGTGTAAAGTATCCCGAAGTTCCCTACAAGGATTGTTCAAGAGTCCGTGAAGCTTATGTCAAGATGGTCCCTGGTCTAAGATATGAAAGGACTTGGGTAAGTTTAGGTAAATTTAGGATAAGCTTAGTAGGACTTCAGACCAGATTATCGACACCTTGATTCAATAACAGAAGTCTTCTTGCTCCCCAAGGTCTTGCGAACTCTATCTTGAACCCAACTTTTGTAAGACGTTCCCCCCCTAATATAGAACAATAGCCTAAAATACTTGGGTTACGGGCAAGTGTCTAATGAGATTTGGCCGAGTCCTCTTTTACACCTCTGCTACCTCTAAGCTGTGCCTTGTATGATTCGAGTTTTGCTTTGTTGTACAATGGCTTTGTAAGAGACGATAGAGCAATGATTGTGGTGACCACAGCTTTCCTTTGTTCGTTTCTCCTCCTTACTCATACCCACTCAAGGCCGATTGAAGTACTGAGGTTAGATTTCGAGAATTATGGTAGAATTCGGGATGAAGGGCAGCTGATATGAGCCTATCGAGGTGGCCTGAAAAGCACCCACAAGCTTGGAGCTGGTCACCTAGAGTAGAGAAATGCAGCCCCTGCCCGGAATCTTCTACCAAAAGCAGTTGGAACTAGTAACTAGCAATGATCAGTTCAAAGTTCCAATTGAACGGCATCGGTAGAAGTTCAAAAGAAAATGCTTATTTCGGAAACCCTTGAGTTGCGCTGGTGAGTGACTGTTTGGTATGCTAAGTTCTTAGTAATCTATGGTATTTATTCTATGAATACCAGAAGAACAGACATAACATTGTGAGGCCAGTGGCACTGTTCATACGCAAGTTAAACAGCGTACTGACGCTTCTGCCTAAGTCTGCTTCTCACTGCCAGTGGACTGCTCTGTGACGGACTGTGAGACATGAGCATATATTGAGAGTTGTGGACTGCTGCCCCAAACACTTGTACCTTTCAAGCAACAGTGACTTGAGGAAATTCTACGCAGCGCAGAATCTTTGAGAAATTGTCGTTAACTTTGCACACATCAACCTTCAAGCAGCAACATGTCGGCGACACGCAACATGACCCAAAGCCGCCTACTTCGACTACCTCCTGAAGTCCTTCTCCTCATGACGGAAGATGATTTTCTTGAATGGGAAGATCTTTGCAGACTTCGCCATGTATGCTGTTTCTTCTTCCACAGTCTGGGTAAGCGAGTGCTCAGGGCCAGAGACCTTTTCTTCTTTCGCAACGCATGCTTGCACGCTGACGTGGATATATTGATCGAGTGTCTGAATAAAGATGCGATCCCAACTGGTACCGTTTGGGAAAGTCCTCATCGTTCAGCAGGGGATTACGTAGTCGATGGATTCCGAGCGGGTAACTTCTCTGTTGAAAGATTCAAGCAAACCTGACAGTGATTGTCAGACCATGGATACGAGCTTAGTTACTCGGTTAAAAATACTGGTGATGCTCCCGGACATTATCGTCCTTTCTCTGCGGACCTTCTGTTCATGGTATGGGACGCCAATGATGCTGGACGTCTTCAAGCAATTTGCGATGTCATCCACTTCGTTGTCGATAAGGGTATGATGTTTCCAAGCTTTCTCGGATACTCGTTCGAGGCAGAGCGGGAGCCAATGTGTAGAACTTTGATAGGATTTATAATGGCTATTCACTGCCCGGCTTCCATCCTGAAGCTGTTCTTGAAGCAGCTCCATGACCAAGGCTTGACCCTGAAGAGTCTCACCAACAATCAGGTTTATAAAGGCGAAACCACGGAGACCTCCGCGTTCCTATGGGAAATGTTTAGATACATTTTCGATTCACTCCCCCCTATGTTAGAAGAGGATGACGGGGATATGGCCAGGGTGCTACTCAGACTTGAGGATCCCAACGGAATAGCAGACAATTTCGGGGACAAGGTCAAGGCGCTGATCGAATACAACTCTGTTGATTATGGCGAAGCGCGGGTCTTGAAAGGTATTTGGGGAGGTCTTCAGAAGATGGCGCGCAAAAGAATCGAACAAGGCTTCCTCGATTTTGACCAAGACGGGCTCTGGTACTGGCGAGAGCTAAACATGTCAATTGCATATCTTGCTATCGAACGGACAGTCCTGACACAAAGGCCTTTGCACAGTCAGGATCCCCGCCCTATTCACGCATTTGAACTCCATCACCAAGGTTGGTACCCCCCAGAACAGCTAAGCTGGATGAAAATGTTTCTTGCAGAACGCAGAGGGAGAATTGAAGCTTCAAAATTCGAGGACAGAAGTATAGGTGATTGGTGGACCATGCCCCTTTGCGACTGGGACTTTTTCGTCCCACCACACAAGTTTTCCTGCAAGGGTTATCGTGAGCACAGGGCAACTGAAGAAGTCTGGTTGAGAATGAGGGATGAGGCGCCGGATCCCATACCTTGATAGGCGGGCCGTGAATGGTATTGTTGGTACTCAGGGGTGTTGTATGAGGTGTTGTCGTTAAGGGGCTGATGAGGACTAGTAAATTGGCTAGTAGTTTATGATATTGTTTTTGCTTTAGCAGTCTGGATGCGGAGAAAACGAGTATATCAGGAGATTGAGGAACTTATAATTCAACATTATGCTTCGCGTTATTGCGTCTATAAAAATTGTATTTATACTTACTGGTGGCCATAAGTGCTTGTAGCTGACATCTGTAACAGATAAATGATACCTATATTATAGTTAATGTCATGCTAATCATTAGCCTTGCTCACTTGAACGTATATCTTTGTCTTCTGCATATCTTCTATTTAAGTAACTCTATGCCAATTGCCTACATGAAGGAGATGATTCACAGTCAAATTCATATTAGGTAAATGCGACAGTGATTCATAGTCAACCTCGGTCCCCAAAATCACTGTGAAGATCGACCTGGATACAGGCGCCTGGAGCCAGGTCCCCCAACACTACAGGCCACTTCTAATGGCCATGGCCGAGTTTTCCATCACTGGTGTGCAGCTGGACAAGGAACTTGAGGATCAGAGGGTGAGCCTGGCGAACGAGGAAAATATGTATCTCAGCTGTCATGGGTGTCATACAGTTCGAGCGCTGAGGGTTATACACTATCGACAGACTGGAGATACTCCACAGCAGTGAGAGATGAGAATATTGAGTCAATCTCCGCATACCAACAGGCTTCAGCTATGGATGGACAGCCTCTATTGCTGAGAGCGGAACTCTTTGAAAGGCGATACGGGAAGAAAAACCAGTGGAGTTAGGAGGGCCAAGCTATACTGATGGACAGTGTCCGTTGGAGAAGGGGAAATTGTTGCCAGATGATATGTCCTCAGGGGTTGCAAACTGCCTTTCCTAGTAATGCTATATTTTAATGCATCTTAGGGATAGCACCAAGTGATCGTCTCACGAGAATATAATCACTAAAATTCAGGTAAATGCTTCAAAATTACCGAAAAGTTGGTGTTTACCCATCGTCTTTGTGTAACACAACTCGTCGCTCTTCCATCATTAGAACGCGCCCCGGTCGTTTGTTGCCCTCTAGGTATCCTTTTTCCATATGCAGCTAACCTAGAGAAGCATTTCTTGCCGTTTAGATCTGTTATTAAAGTAAGGTTCTTGAATATATCACAAGTGAAGTGTACATGATACCCGCTCTCTTTGTCTCTTCCATAGTCTGAACATAAGACTGCCGAAAGACAAGAACAAGACTAACATCGCTTTGTTTTTCAGTATTTCTTACGTTAGGTCTCGGTTAACAAAGATAGGCCCAATGTTATTGCGTCCTTGGTAGTCGGAGCAGGCCCCGTAATAGATCATTTATCATCATCCTTACCCCTTTGCCTGGAAACAAGCTCTAAAAGGCACAATGAATCCGTGAGAGGGCAATGCACAGTAGTCTTTGATTCCTTTGGACATTGAGCAACCGAATGTAATGTTCAGAAGTCAAAGATTTACGGAGACTGGCTGTTCAGTAGAAAGACATCAGTATAAAATAAGGCCCTGAGGCATGAGTAACAATATTCCGTACACTTGAGCAAACACTATTCAACCACAATAACAACGACGACAAAATGTCTCTTACTGAAAGAAAGACCAAGTCCCAGAAGCTTGGTCTATTTGATCTACCCGATGAACTCCTCCTCTGCATCTTTGAAGCTGAGGATTTGGAATGGAGAGATCATCTTAACATTCACCACGTGTCATCTCGACTCTTTCAATTGACGTTCAAGCACGTTTACAACGGGAAGCGAGAGATTTTCGAACATGCCTGCTATATGGGCAATCTTGATCTCATAATTGAGTGTCTCAAGCACAGAAACGTTCCCACTAGTCGACTTTGGGAAACGACCGGGCGCCGCGAAATCTGCTGGACACCGCTTGATATCCTTTCATTGGGGTTTCTGGATGGGTACTTCTCGGCTGATGCATTCATCAAAGTAGCTGAGTGGCTATTCGCTAACGGATATCATACCGGGCAGGTCGAAAGGATCGAGGGAGAGTTAATAACTTCTTCTGTTTTCCCTCCCCTTGTGCTGACCACGATCCCAACGGCAACAGATGCAGATGAACATCGTGGCATCTGCCAGGTAATCGAGTTCCTTATAGACAAGGGCTTGGGATTTCCGTCTGAAAGGCTACGCAGGGTGTTGCCCGCGAAGAAGGGCGGACATCCAGGATACCGGGAATTTGCTAAGGGCTTTGACAGCATTATGCAGATAATGCTGCAGTCGGCCTCCCCCCCCGCTCTCTTCGAGGTTTTTCTTAACAAGATGCTCTTCGATCGGGGAATGACTCTCAGGTCTCGCCTTGCCCCTGGCCATCGAGTTGACATTGACTGGCACGAATGGACAGGACTCCATGATCTAGTCCACATCCTTTTCGATGACCTGTTTGCTCCATGGATATACAAAGGAGACAGCCCGAGCTACTTTTCCGATACCTTTGAGGCTAAGATCAAGTTGCTCATCAAATATGACGGGATTGAGGACAATGAACAGTCGGCACTTGAAAATATCCTTGAAGCTCTGCGTAGGATCGAAGCAAAGCAGAGAGACAATGGCGGTCTCAACTTTGAACGAGACGGCACATGGTGCTGGCGCGAGATCTGCCTCTCCATCTATCAGACCCCTTTCCTAGGTCGGAGGGTAGGCAATCGATATTCTCAAGAAGACTATCCACAAGCAATTAACCCCATCAACGAGAGACGCGTGCATGAGTTCGCAATCCCTGGTATGCTATGGTATCCCCCTGAGATCCTGGTCGATGCTAGGTCGACTATTTTTGAACATGTTCACGACAAGCTCGACCCATCCTGGCTCGAGGATAACACCGAAAGAGATTGGGTCAATATGCCCTTAGACGCCTGGAACTTTATAGGCGTTAAAAAGCCGGGGCTTGCTTTTATGACAAAAGGGGGCCGTAGACATTTTCTTAGCACCGGTCGGATTTCTCGATGAAGATGTAACTGGAAGCGAGGCAGACGATAGAGCTATCGTTGAGGATCTTGCTACTTATTTTAGGTAGTTGTTTCTCTCTGCTAAGATTTAGATTCGTAGACTAGTTAGAGCGTCAATCTGATTAGATCATAAAAAAGCATAAAACAAACTCTTTGATTTGTACCTACACCCATAGAGACGTATGATGAACTATTGCTGCTGTTCGGGCCAGAACCTCACATTTACAGCAAATCCATAGCATAGCAGAGGAACAAGCTATGGCTAGAAGCCGGGTGTACCAATTGTTTTTGGAACAGGAGGTACTTAATTATTGACAAAGGATGGGCATTTGGTTGAGGTAGGGACATGTGGTTGTTCCAGATAACACTAGAATATGAAAAGAGCTACGCTATATGTCTTCGATCTACAGAGGCTGTTAAGATCGTTGAGTGTCAGACCCAAGACTCCCATTATGCCCTGACATTATTACCGCTGTCATGATTGAAATAAACAGATAAACAGACGAGCAGACATGCGCAGGAACGAACAACCCGTAGTACTCAGGGATGAAAAGACGAAAGCTCCAACCTCCATAATGTCACTGACCATACTCACTGAAAAGATATCAGATTCTTTCCGCCTCAATTCAATATTACTGTGTAGTTGATGTAGCGAACAGCAGCATTGGATGTCCTAGTTTCTCATTATGTTCCCGAAAAGAACTGTTCGTCTCTGCGAGTATAAACTGACACTCATCTGCAGTATCAACTAGAGATCAAACCTCACACACACATTCTTCTCATCACTTCGAGAAACCCAAACGACACCTTCCTTTTCTTAAATACTATCTTCCTTCTCGGAAACATTATCTCTGTAGCATTTCGTTGCCAGGACAATCATGTCCTCGCAACAAAACTCACCTCCTCCCGCCTCGGGCTCCAGCTCTGAGCTCATCCCGCGCAACACTCTTCTCGGTCTGCCCGAAGAGCTTCAAGATCTCATCGCTAGATCAATCAGCGAAGACAGGGACGTGAGCGTCGACGCGTTGTGTAAGCTGACACTGGTCTGCGAGCAGATGCATCGGATTGCCCGCCCGTATGTCCTCCGCGCCACAAAATATATGGCGTTTCAGCGGGCTGTCGAATCGGCCTATCTGCCGAACATGCGTCTCTGTGGCGAATGCCGCGCAGCCCCAGTCGAAATGAGCTGGCCTGTAAGACCTTCTTGGAGGGAGTATCGACCGATCGATGCTCTACTCCTCCACTTGGACGAGCGGCATGATAGTCCGCGAAGCGAACAGTTGCAGAAAAAAAGTCGAATCAGTGTCTATGAAGCTCTTGAGTGGCTCCTTGAGAAGGGTGCTAGCGGAGAAGCAAATCTGGTAGGTGAATCCCTTAACGGGTTTCGATATCTACGGCTGGATATGGGTCTTGGACACATGCCCACGCGACTCCTGAAGCAACTCCAACTTGACATTGGTAGACCTGGAGTTGAAATGTATCTCAAGATGATTGAGCTGTTGAGCAGTTATGACTTTCCGAACCCAACTCGATCCAACGCCCTCGACGGCGTGGTGGCCACTGACAAGTTACCTTTCTACCATCCGGCGTGTGACTAGGCGGACACGCAGCCATACCCTTTCGTCAATGGTGCGATAGCAGACACGTATTTCACGGAATCCCCACTAGACCTGGCGCTCAAGTCGCATATTCCGCCTCGTCTTCTGGAGTTGATGCTGAAGGAATATGCCAGTCGAGGCGTCAGCCTGCTCACATTTTACAAAGAGTGCCCAGAAGGTCTCAAGAAGACCTGTAAGGGAAAGAGGCCTCGTATAGATGATGACTGGGTGGGTGTAAGTTCCGTTGGCACTCTTATCGGAACGCTCCATGCTGATTTGCACAGCACGTCGGTGACCCGTTGGAGAGCATCGTATGCTGGAGAAGTCGCTGACATTTTCCGGCAGAAGCTCGACATCATGGTCAAGTACGAGATGATTGACGTGCTTGAGGAGCTTCTGCTCAAGAGTATTCTTGGAGCTCTGGATGTAATTACAGCGCAAATCACTGCAGCAGGGCGTGTAGTGCCTACGCAGTTCATGCGTTCGTGGGTGACGCTATGCGAGGCAGTTCGACCCTATTGCGCGGGCGGGTATGAGTTTCTGTACGATATAAACCGCGCAATTGTTCGCAATGGACCTGGACGCGTCCATGAGTTCGTTATTGATACCGAGTGGAACCCATGGTACATGTGGTTTATGTGGTCTGATGCATGCAGACGTCGTGACCTGACAATATGGAACATCGGTAGGGCCGAATTCCATAAGAATAAAAGATATTTCTGGCAGAAGCATCACGGGTACGAGATCGAGCATATACTCGGGTACTTTGACCGTGATCAGGTCCAGCCTTGGTACGAGGTTGATGTGGTCGAGTGGTGTCAGCAAATGCTGGGAACTTTTACTGAGGACGGGGTTCCTAATGACTTGAAGTATGATTTCCAGACTTGGTGTGAGTTCATGGAAGGGGAACTTGACGAAGAGTCAATTCCCTTCGAATGGTGGAGCCAGTTCACAAGAGCGTAATGAAAGGAAGCTTGTTTGTTCCTGCAAGAAATACTAGATCTAGCTGGGTACGGGGGTTGAGCATTCGCGATACTGGGGGATAAGTAGAGTCCATTGTTTTTGCTGAACTGAACGAGCTCTGGACGCTCTTGAACTGATTGGATATAAAAGTTTCCGTTGAAGCTATCACGGGTGATGCTAAGAGGTTGATGTGATGTAACGATCAAGGTTGAGACGAGAGGGCACTAGACTCAAAGCAGCCCCCCACTGAACCATCCCATGGCCTTGCCTACTACTGAGACACCGCTTACGGGAGCGACGGGATCTACTGTACAGCACCGTCTAGCAAACAGAACCAAAAGTACAAGTAACTTTTGCGTTTACAGCCCAAGGCTCTAGTTAGTCTAGTCTACTCTAGGTAGTCTCCCTTGATTACCTTGGGTTCCATCGAAGGCAGACGAAGGAGGGGTCGGTTGGGTTCTGTTTGCCTCTGATCCTTTTGTTCTCTGGGTAGGTAATCAAGGTTGCTTTTTGCTATACCGACCTTTTGATTTTTAGCACTAGGCTCTAGACTCTAGACTCATCTTCCCTCTCTCCTTTTCTTTCTTCTTTTCTCTTTTTTCTTTCATCATCTATCGGTATTGATTTGACTCTGATACACAGGCTCTGATATATACCCTGTCCAGAAACATCTCCACTCTTGACAAACGTTGGATCCCTTCAACCAACAACACACCCACTCACCCCCCATATCACTCACATAAGAGCACTGACTGTATCAAGTAATCCTATGGATCGCGATATATCATGACAGACCAACAGCTTCGAGACACCCCCACTGCTACTGCCACTGACTCTCCTCCTCCTCGTCCTCCTCCTGCTGCTGCTGCAGCCCCCGCTGCTCCATCCTCCCCCGCTCCTCAGGCCGAGCTCATCCCCGCAGAGGACCCTGAGGTGCGTTGTACCCTACCTAACCTCCCTCCTCTCTTACATAAAACCTGTAGAGTAATAATCACTGGGAATTAACATCTTGTGTCTTTTTTTTTTGCCGTGTCTGTAGGAAACTTCCGATATTGATCGTTATGAAATTGATTCAGCTCTTGGATCCGATGCGTGAGTTTGCTCCACATCTCGTATGTCTTGCTGTTCCGCTCAACTCACATATCCCGCTCAGTGCCAGTTTCATGTACCCGGACTCGGTGACGGCGAGCATTCTCGAGTACAGAACTATTCAAGGAAGAACATATCACAGCGATCGCTATGCTCATGAATATGTCATGCCGAATGACGAGCAGCAGCTTCAATCGGTTGACATCACCCATCACTACCTCACTATACTGCTAGATAACAACCTCTTCTTGGCGCCCATATCGCCTCATGTCCAGAGAGTTCTCGATGTCGGAACCGGTTCCGGAATTTGGGCAATGCAAGTTTCCCTCTCCGCCTCTCACTTCAATTGACTGACTTGTCTTCAGAGACTTTGCAGATGCATATCCAAGCGCTCAAGTAATCGGCTCAGACCTCTCACCCACCCAGCCTGAATGGGTTCCTCCAAACGTGCACTTTGAGATAGCAGATGCAACTCTCACCTGGCCCTGGAAAGACAACTACTTTGACTTCATCCATATCCGCTACCTCTTTGGAGGAGTCCAAGACTGGCCTGCCCTCTTCCAAGAAGCATATCGCTGCTGTGCACCCGGTGGCTGGGTCCAATCATGCGAGGCTGACATACATTTCTACTCCGATGACGGAACGACAGACAGCGAGCCTGCACTCCAGAAGTGGGCGGATCTGTACGAGAAGGGCGGCGCAGCAACGGGGAGGACGTTTTTTCTTCAGCAGGAGGCGCTGCAGGAGAGGAGTATCACAGAGGCTGGCTTTACGGATGTCAGGATATTTGATTACAAGGTACGACGGCGGATTTGTTTGAGGTGATACCTGCTAACGATGTTTGGGCTGCAGCTACCCGTGGGAGGATGGACCAGTAATCGGAAGCTTTTTGAGCTGGGCGAGTACGTCAGGTTGACTTTGGAAAACGATCTCGAGGGTATGTATCCGCCATCGCATGTCGTCTCGCGCTCGCTGACTCGCTCGTCGCAGGATATACGCTGTATCTTTGGCATAACGTGCTGAACTGGCCGAGGGAGGAATACCCGCAGTTTCTCGCGGCGATGCGAAAAGCGATCAGTAGTCGCAAGGTTCATGGATACATGATGGTACGGTACGTTTACGCGCGGAAGCCTTGAGGCGGCGAGGTATCAACGAATGCGACGAGTTATGAGAATATTGGGCGGTCGGGCGGTCGGGCGGTCGGGCGGGCACATAGAGCTGGAGGATCGTGGGCACATGGGAAAGACGTAGTGCGTGGGCTTGTTTATCTTGACGATCAAAGGCGTATTTTGGACATGGCTGTTGGGATAATATATAATCGGTAGGATATTTGGCAATAGACATACACTCGAGCAAGACGTCTACGCATCAACGCGACGTGACTCCGTTCGACAGCATTTCTTTCCTGGCGCGCAAATTATTTCAATCACCGTAGCAACACACATTAACATCACAGCTTCTTCCTCACCCCCAGGGCAAGCCCCAGCAAGCAATGAAAAAGAGAAGTAGAAAACACGCCTGTCAGACGTCCATCAACACCCACCCCGACCGCGCGCCCGAAGGCAAGACCGCAATCAGGGTCGAGATCATCAAATACAACCATCTCTATACAGCCACCTACACGAAGCAGGCAAGACCGCCATCCTTGCGGACAGATCGAGAGGACCAAGGTATTCACTCTAGGGTGTCGAGGATATGCACTCATCAACCAGGGTGGGATCTGTGGCTCTTTTAGGGAACCAAGAGAAGGTCGAATACTATAGAAATGATTCTCTGAAGTATTGTCGACATGAAGAAGAAAAGAAGAAAAAAGTCTAAAAGGTCGGAGGGAAGGCGCGCTTTTATAGAGTGCCTGTGGGGCGCGGGATCACTCTGGCTTCACCGCCTAAAAGTTGCTGGCAGAATCTTTTTTTTTTTGAGCCTCAGGGTTTTGAGGGATTTTGAGATTCTGATTGGTTGGTAGGATGTGGATTGATGATCCACCGCAGACGACTTTGAGCTGCGCAGCGAATCACAGCGAGGGGAGTGTGGATGCTGCAGTGGTTTTTTTCTACGCGATGCGAGAGCTTCTATTTTTTTTTGAAGTGGATCACTTTGAAGGTTTGCACCGAAATTGAGATCAAATGCGGAAGCAGAATGCGACTGCATGAATCATTGCGCCGAGATGGGAGGCCATACTTGACTCTGACACTCTGTGATGCTCTCGAGACTTGGGTTGGAACGGATTTCGGAGTTGACCTTGTGTAGATCTGCGTTGTGTATCATGTGTAGCATCTGTCTCGAGATATGCATGCACAGTATGGTCAAATGTGAAGTCCTTTCTCATGCAGGCGCATTCATTGTCGTTGTGCGCTCAGTGCGTCGTCTTCTTCACTACTTGTACGCAGGTGAATATACTTCTGTTACGATGTCTCACCTTGATGTACCAGATTCGAACTGAGTATCACTTCGCCTTGAAATAGCTATGGAAATAAAACCATTCACTGGAGACAGGATCTCGCAGTAACTGAGTCCCAAAGCAAGATGTTGTGATTTGACTTTTGGCTTGTCCTCTACCCTGCAGTGCCTGTGCTTGAGAGAACCGCTCGAATTATAACCCGATAACGTTTGGCAAGCATTTCCAGCGGTTTTCATGAGTTTCTCGGTGCACTTGTGAAACTTTATATTGGACTTATGAGATCGCATAGTGGCTATTTCGAATATCGCCAATATAACACTACAGACTCTCATCGCGCTCTCTATACAAAGCCTCTCTCTCAATCCAACCTCTAACCTCATCCCCAACCAACCCATCCAAACTCCCTTTACCACCCTTCACAACCTCTCTCACCCGCGAACTGCTCACATCGCCATCGCCTTCTCTTCCCTCAACCATTTCCACTCTCTCAACCCAAGCTTCATCACCGCCAACATCCCTCACCCTCTCCTTCGTCAACCACGCCCTCTGCTCATCGACTCCTCCCCACGTCTGATCCGGCCTCGTCGTAACTCTCACCTTGCACTTCTCGAAGAATGGCCCTAACGCATTTTGGATACCTTCGTTGTAGTACTTTGGATTAAAAATGCGGACTATCGTGTCAAACCCTGCGAGGAAGGTTTGTACCGGTTGACCTCCGTCTTGTGTAGCATAAAACCCTGATTCTGATATGGACTTCGCTTTATCATGAAAGAAAGGCATCGCCGTAACCGCAACATCGATCTCTACACCCTCGTCAAGCAGCTCCCGCCCCATCGCCTCCATCATACTCAATCTGATAGGAAAACTCGCCGGCTTCGGCGCCTTATCAGCATTATTCACCGACAGCAGCAACATCAGCCTCTTCTCCCCTTCTAATCTCAACGCAGAACGTGCCATGCTTGCGTGCGCTAACGTCGGCGGATTGAAGCTTGAGTCTAGAATCACAAGATTCTGTAGTGGGCGGGTTGGTCGGCGCGGCGCGGGGACATTGGAAGTGTGGGGTAGAGTGCAGAGGATGCGGAATGAGTCTTGCGAGGATTGGAACGACGTGAGGGCGCGAGAGAATGACGCAACGAGCGATCGAGATTCTAGTAAAGGCATTTTGGAGTTTGATGAGTTTTTGGCGCTCATGGTGTGGTGATGCGAAGGATGAGGTTGTAAGTTGTGAGATCGAGCAGTGCAGCAGCAACGTGGGGCAGCGATCGACTGGGGTGAGCCAGAAATAGCTGGAAGGATAGATGTGACTTTGGGGGGTTCAAGACCTCTTTTCTGACATCAAACCAAAGACGTGGCCATCTGTAGCCTCATCGTCGTTGCGTTGGCCCACCGAGATACTCTTGCCAGTATCGCCAGGTGCAAGGGAGCTATCCTAATCACCTTAGCTACGGTGCCAGCTCGGAAGCGGTGATTCGCTTGTTGTGGTCCAGTTCGAGGAGTCGCAAAAGGATCTGGA